CCGTCAACCGCCGGTCATTGTGCCCACTGCTGCACCGCGCCGTCTCTGTGGGCCACGGCGGGGACAACATTGGCCACCCGTGCGCGTCCAGGTCCGCCGTTGCCCCGCGCCGTCTCCCCCCACTGCGGGTGCGCAGGTGGCCGAGATTTGGCCCGCCACGGCCGTTCCATGCTCCTCTGTTCGTTGAAGATGAGAGGAGGTGAGAAATCAATGTAGAAATTTTGTTTAGGGTTCTAGATGTAAAATACGTGACTCATTTAAATAGTGCTTTGGATCTTGGGTTGAATAGAGAAAAGTGCAGGGTCATTTTTGCAAAATCGCCAAGCCGATTTGGGCAGGCCGCGCATGGGCCGGCTTGTTAGGCCGGCCTTGTTTCGCCCCTAGGCCTGGTGCCGCACGTCCCGCGTGGGCCGGTCTGCTCCGGCTGGGCCACGCCGCTGGGCCGCTTGAGCCGCAGCCGCGTGCGTGCCGGTGGGCCGCCTCCCTAGCTGGCTAGGCCGCGTGCGGCTAGGCCTCCTGGCCGCCCAGCGTGGGCCGAGCTGGCCGAAGCTGGCCCAGGTGCCCTCTTAGTTTTCTAGTTTTTGTTTGAAATGGCTGAAACTTGTAAAATCCGTAATAAAATCAAATAAAATCATAAAATGGTAAATCTAGTTTTGTTGAACTCTACACAGATTGTACTACACTGTAAACACATAAAATCATATGGTTTAGTGCAAAGTAATTGTCTCAAAATTACTCTAGGGTTTCTTGTAATTAATTAAAATAGTTCTTATGCTCCAAATGCTATGAAACTTTTACAGTAGCATAACTTTGCTATGTTTGTACTCTAGTAAGAATTTTATGTTCAGTGGGTACTGGATGACTGGAGTATTAATTTAGCTTGTGAATACTAGTTTAATGCTCAAAATAAAATTAAAAGAAAATAGAAATATAAAATGTATGTCCTTAGAATATTATTATTACAATAGTACTTTAGGACACTTGTTAAGACCTTGGAATTGTATAACTAAAAACACTTGTTGAGAAATGACATCTTTCTCGATGATGTTGATACGAAGATTAGTACGTTAGTCATTAGAGCTATCTTGTTAGTTAGTAGCATGTACTCTATTCTAAGAGTTGTTGTGCCTGGTTAATTAACTGTTGCATCATCTCTGCGTTGCATTGCATATCATAATAGGAACGACGGTGTATCGTGGAGTCATCTAGAGTATCAAAAAAATGCTGCCAGGGATTAGAACACAAAGATGGAATACTAACTTTTGGTTATATCTTATCTAGACAAGCCCCGGTGCATAACCTCTACTTTTCTACACTTTAAATTATATTTGTGCATTAAGTTTTAAGAAGTTGAATGAAACCCACTTGCATATAAATCTTTATCATATGAGTCTTACTAGTATGACAGGATCGTGTAAATTGCTATGCTACAGGACTCCGGTTGAAGTCGAGTGATTGCTTGTCACTCGTGAGAGATAGGAAATATATTACTGTATTATTATCACTTAAAAAATATAAATGGTGGAAAGAAAAAATGGTGACCGGGTAGGGATATGGTTTGGGTATTGGTGGGTGTAAGAGATTGTGTCCTGCAGCAAACGAGGCATAGCTTGGTTACACCGTTTTCCCTGTCTGTGTCGGTTAAGGACCTGCCGTTGCATTGGGTTCTAGGCAGGTCACACACTTATTATCCCGAGCACTTACTTGGACATGGGCGCAGGGAAGACTTGTTACTCTCTTGTCATGGGTTTCGGCTCTTCTCGGACCGACTGTCAGGGTAGTTTTTGGGTGGAGGTCCTTGCACCGCACTGAGTCTGGGACTCAGGGACGGGGGCTTGGAGTCCCAGTTTGGACGGGACCTAGATCCCATGACAGGAGAGTAGTGGGTTAGTCCTGCTTGTGCCTGGGTATGATGGGGCGTGTGTTTTCAGGGTACCCAGCTGGGGGTATTAATTCGCGAATCATCGGGCAATCTAGTATGGCTTGTATACAGTCTAGCAACGTAGTAAGAACTGAAAGATGATAGATGGTAACAGGGAATCTGATTGCTTATCACCTGCTTGAAAGTAGCACACGTGCTTACATAGAATGGTTAGTTAATGAACTAATACGACTGCTAATAAAAATCGAATATAAGGACGCACGCTTAGTAATGCTTCCTACAAATACAACAAACCCACCAGCCAGATAGCCTTGCATATCCTTGGAGTTTTTTATTTCCTCCTGTCGGGTAAGTCTTGTTGAGTACAATTGAGTACTCAGGGTTTTATTTCTCCTGTTGTAGGTGACAGGCGAAAGCTAGAGCTGACTCTTATGTGTGGATTCCTCCTGATGGACTCAGAGATGATTACTTTATGCTGCGATCATAGTTTTATTTATAACTCTCACTAAATATTTTTTTTATAAATAGAAGTTTTATAATTTGTTGTCGTAGTTTATATATCAATATTTCATCATGTCATAAATAGTTGTTTAATTCCGCTGTAACTCTGTTCACATGTTTATATTTCGCTGTTCAATTAAATTGTTCATAACTCTAATAATATGATTGCATTCCGTTGTTATAACAATAAATAGTATACTCTGATGTTGTATTAAAAGTGATGTAAGAAATGGTTAAGAATGATGTAAGTTTTATTCTCTCATTTGTGATCCTGATGGAAAAATGTGGATTTTCGGTTTCTCCCTTGGGGTGTGCCCGACGGAACTGTGTAATTTGGTGTTCTCCCTTTAGTACTTAGTGTCTAATGGAAGAAAAGTACTCCTGGGAGGCATTAGATTAGACGGTTCTGCCACACCGTGGTTAGGAGCAGATCTGTGGCGGCACTGATTGGGGGAGGTGGAGCATCTCGAGGAGCCGAAACTCGTGGTGGAGGTTGGATCCGCGAGCGTGGAGGTTGTAGGGAGGTGGAGGAGGGGCCCGCTAGGGTTCCCTTCTGGCCCGTTGGAGCACAAGGTACCTCAATGGCGTTTCCAATAAAAACAACCTCGAAACCGTAGATCCTTGTTCTGCTCTATGGGTAGATAAAAACCCTGACTCCACCCTACGAATATTTAACTTGTGAAATATTTAGATTCATATCATGTATTAACGTCTATTTTGAAATATGGATAAAACGTGGAAATAAAGTGTACTGTAAAATTCGAATATACGACGCTGGACAGAGTTTCATATTGGAGGTGCGGGTGACTACTGGGCGCGGCTCTACTCTCACCACTCTGGTGGTGAACAGTGAACTAGGCGTCTGCGTGTCCACGGGCTTGAGGTGCTGGCTTGTCGCCGCCGACAGAAAACTCAAAATGGATCATGAACAAACATGAGGCTTAGCTAACACGTTGTTCTAGCAGAACTTCATCACTCAAGAGTACGGACGGATATCACTGATATTACATTTGTTTTCATATTTCTGTCCGGATTTGGATTCGAATATGGATAATGTTTAGGATACAATTGGATATCGATAGATTTGAGTATTCAGATACGGTATTGGATGTTGAATATCCGGACTCAGATACGGACAGAAAATATCCATACCATTTTCATCCCTACTCAAGACTACAAGAGGGATTAATAACATATGTAGCAGATGGGATCGCAATGTAGAATGTGCCAAAACATCTTCCATATAAAACTGAAAAGCATGCGTTAGTGAAACCGATGAATATAAGATCAATCCGGCAACCCAGCATTGATCTATGGAACCCAGACCAACACGTATAGTATAAGAGTTTTATTACTGCTACTACTACTACCAGTAAGAAAAAAAACTACTACTACTGTTTTCTAGAATCCTAATCCTAAGTGATAAAACCATGTATCAGCTAGATCTATTGACCCCATATCTATGTTGAATCAAATGGAACATCACGTTTCTGTTCACTGTAACCCTTTTGTTTTCTTAGAACATTAAGTTTGAGTTCTGTTTTCAAAGTTGATCATATTTGGAGAGAGACTACCAAATATGATAAAATTGTATGAAGCGTCCCTTAAATTCAATTGAATCCTAAGTGAAACCTGGAATTGTTGAACATACATTAAAGAACACTGCAGAAATACCGAGCATTTTTTTTTATGTTTCCACCTGTTAAACTGCCTAGATTCTTTTGTTGAACAAAAACTGCCTAAAATCTGAATAAACAGAGCTTGTGACTTATATTGCCAAACCTTTAATAGTGAATGTTTCATGACATAATGAAATTGCTGCCAACAATTCCAACGTAAATACCCGAGCAACCTAATAAATAAAGATGCAAGAAAAACAAGAAAGTTCACTTCAAGTTTTGGATAACAGTGTCAGTTCACGGTGGTGGCTCTGTTTTCACCACTCTGTTTCACCTGCTCGAGGACTAAGGCCTGGTTTAGTTGGCGAAATTTTTTAGGAAATGGTACTGTAGCACTTTCATTGTTATTTGTCAATTAGTGTCCAATCATAGTCTAATTAGGCTTAAAAGATTCGTCTCGTGAATTTCGTCTAAATTGTGTAATTAGTTTTATTTTTTATTTATATTTAATGCTTCATGCATACGTCCAAAGATTCGATGTGACGGAGAATCTTGAAAAATTTTACAAAATTTTGGGAACTAAACAGCACTAAACTCCGACTGAACTGTTAAATAAAGTCCGATCATCACGACGAACAATCATGTGGGTAGCCAGATGGGACATCGTTTACAGGATCAAACATCAATGCACCATATCATCACGGTGAGGAAGGACCTAACAGTTTGGGATCGTTAACAGTGCAAACCGTAACTCATCAAGCAAAAGGATCAGATAGTTGGGATGACGATGTACCATGTCTATGTATTACGTACTGAAATTGATTAGAACAGCCTCAGATCTCCGATCAGCAAGATCAATCCGGCCAAAACCCCCAAAAACACAGGCTCGATAGTACCATCAGAGCAAAAAGCAACTACGCTACGTTACGCTAACGACAGCAGGCAAGGGCGAGAGGATGAACATCGACCGATCCACGTACGTACGGATGCGCGATCGATCAGTCGAAGAGGTTGAAGAGGGCGTCGTCATCCTCCTCCTCTTCCTCCTCCTTCTTGGCCTCCTCCTTCTTGTCCTCCTCCTCGGCCTCGGCGGCGGCGCCGGCGGCAGGAGCGGCGACCATGGCGGCGCCTCCAGAGGGCGCGTAGGCGAGCTGCTCCCTGCCCGCGGCGATGAGCTCGGCGACGTCCTTGCCGTCCATGAGCGCGAAGAGCAGGTCGAGGCGGTCCTCCTCCACCTCGGCGCCGACGGAGCCCAGGATGCGGCGCACGTCGTCCTTGGTCGGCGGGAGTTCGGGCACCGGGGCCGGGAGCACGGCCGCGGCCCCCTCCTCGGTGGCGGTGGCGGCGGCGGCGGCGGCTTGTTCCGCGCCCATGCACGCCAGCAGGTACGCGGCGGCGAACTTCATCTCGGACGGACGGACGCGGCGGTTTGCGAGAGCTTGCAGAGCTTGGGGTGCGGTTGCGATTGGTGGCGTGGGGGTTTTGGGAGCTCAAGGGGCCAGGCGCCGTGGCGACCGACGCTTATATGGAAGCGGGCGCGGGCGCGGGCGCGGGCGGGCGCTGGCCGGGGTGCGGGACGGATGCGAACTGGAGCGTGCCCGGGCTGGCTCGCTGCAGGAAACTTGGCGGCTACGGTCCACGGCTTCCTTGGGCGTGACGAAAGCGGAGGTCGAGCGGTTACTGCCTGCTGCTACTCTAACTCCTACAACGTCCCGAAGAACGGGAGGGAGGCAGGCAGTAGAGCGTCTGTCGCTGGGGCGTGGGGCCCGCTGGGTGGGAATGGGAACCGTGAGCGGCACGGTTTCCCTTTCGGAAGAGCGAGGGTAGGGTAGTGTACGTATCTCGCTCGGTGTCCCTACAAAACCCGTGTACCTCTCTCTCAGATTGGGCCGGCCCAAACATCAAGGCCTCCATGGCCGAGGCAGACTTTGGTGATCAGGCGCGAGGCATGGCATGGGCGTCGCATATTTGGATGGGCCAAGAACAAATTCGTCGTTCCAGGTCAGCGAAAGTCAATTTAACAATCTTCTTAACTTTCGTATACAAGCCCAGTTTGGCTCTCCTAATCTTAACTTTAAGTCAATTTGACCTCCTTAATTTTCATCGAAGTCCAATAAGCCCCCGCAATGGAAAAATCCGGTTTTGTATAACCTCCTCATGTTTTGAAATCCTGCGAATATGCTTCCTGGGCGGTTTAAACAGTTTTAGACAACGTGACGTTATTAAGTCAGACATCCTACGATAGTATAGCCACAAGAAGAGAGAGATAAATCAACAAATTACGTCGACAGTTTAGAAAGGCTAATTAAACCTAACCAAAACAATTATAGAGAATAACTTTTAAAAATACCCAAAACAATTTTTGAAAAAAAATTGCAATTGAAATTCGAAAAATTTGGTCTAGTTTTTTAAAATTCATAGAAGATTTGTTTGACCTCGGAAGATTATGGAACTGGTTTCAAAAAATGTTCCTAAAAATCATTATCTTATGGTATCTGTCTTGAAATTATATGAATCTTGTATGATATCTTTTTTGTGTGTTTAGTTTCTTGTAGATGCTCTTGCCATCAATTATAATTAGTCTAGGTTGGTTCGGACATGCCCTACTAGCTAGATACCGCAATATCACAAAGAAACATTCTTTATTCTCTATTTCTTGTGTTATGAATATGCAAATGAATTATGTTTCGTGAGATTTGAGTTAGTGGCACATAATTGTCATAGTCACAAAAGAGAATGATGTGGAAATAGATTTACAAAATATTGCAGATTGTAAACATCAAGATGTCTGTTATGACTTTGTCAATCTGTACCCTTAGGGGATGGGTGTGAGCGCGCGTGTTCATATTGTAAAGTGACATATGTGTCCATATTAAATACGATCGAGTATAATGTGGCTACATGACACATGTTTTTTTCGCCAAAGTTAGCAAAACTTCTACATGATCAGGGTCACCGATGTACAATGATTATAATACATAACAAGAGCATTACTTACTACTAACATAGAAACAACAAAAATAGATCATATAAGATTCAAATAATTATGAGCTAGGCAACAAAATATGGAGCATTGTTTTAAAGAAAATACGAAAATGTTCTTATATTTATTTTATGACCTAAAACAAATTTCTATAATCTTAAGATTAAATCAGATTTTATGATTTTTAGTTGAATATATAGCTTTTCATAAAGAAATTTAGATAATTTATTGAAAATTATTTCTATAACTTTTTAGATGAAATCCTATTGACCCCTCAAGTATCACCATTGTTTAATTAATCTCTCTCATGGATGGCATGTCACTATATCTGCTAAAACGGCTTTCAAAGCTACTCAGAGAAAATTTGGATGTTTTCAAAAGTTGGAGGGGTCACAAAACTAGTATTTTGGTTGGTTTTAATTATACAATGTTGCTTCCATGTAGGCTTCCACTTAAATACTTAATGAAACTAACCATGAGTAGACAAGTAAAAAAACTAGGTTATATCCTTCATTATCAGGCACAGCTCATTTCACACTCCTTTGCATCAACCGTCTTAGCTTTAATTGATCTTCTTTCAAACCCATGACATCATCTCAACATTGATAATCCCGTCGAGTGAACTATCATACTAAGTCATGTAGGAAGTGGCTAACCTAACTTAACTGGTTGGGTGAAAGGTATGGTTATGCACACAACCACCCAAGTTTAAGTCATCTCTTAAACTGAATTTGGGTGCCTGTTTCTATTCTTAATGAAAACCCACCTAGTTCCTCTTAGATTGGATCTCGCTAAGTCAAGTCAATTATTAGGATTAGGGACTGTGGGGCTAGATTCATGCATCAAACGGGAGTCGAGGGAGTCAGATTGGTCAGTTTCAAAGGTGAGGGACCACGAAGTTGAGCTTCTGATGCAAGTTGGAAGGCTAACTACTCTGCCAATAGGTGATAACGCACAATTCAGCGTATCTGTTCTATTGATATGGTTGATCCATCACAAAAGTCATCACCTCTTTAATATCAGCGGGGCCAATATGTCACAGATTTTTATAGGAATAGTACATGTATATCTAGAGTGAGTGTGTGTGCATGCACACACACCACACACTCACCTCTTTCAAAAGTTTTAAAATTAAAGGGCAGCCTGACTTTAAACAACTTTTTGAGCACGCATAGAACGGGTTAATATATTGTTTTGAGGTGTTCCCCAAAATAAATATTTCGTTTTGAGGTTTGACGGACAAACACAATTATTTATTTAATAATAAAGTATAAAATGTACTTTCATATACTTTTTTTTCAAGGTCACATAAAAAGTTTATGCGTCTTTGTATTAAAAATTAAGAAAGAGAAAAAGTTTAACACGACATACTCAAGTATTTATCTAGTTTGTTTGTTTCAAGTGGTATCTAGACTCAAGTATTTCATCAAGAATTCACAAGTGATGTCTAGATCAACTCACAAGTGATATCCTATAAGTGGTACTCATGAAGATAGCAAAGGTTCAAGAAATGATTTTTATTGATAAATCCAATAAGTGGTTCCATACTAGAAAATTATTTCAAGTGGTATCACATCTACACGTGGTATCAATCATGCAAGATGATGGTTCCACAAGTGATCCTCAACTTTAAGTGATCATCAAATGAAGAATGCATCCCTCACCTACAAGAGCTCAAGTTTATCAAATGGATGATCCATGCTATGACATAGGGGGAGGTGTCCCACAAATTGATATCAAGGTCGAAGATCCTATGTGTGGTATCTCAAGGGCTACAAGTGGTGTCATTCCAACAATTAAGTGATGTCCATAAAAAATACAAGATTCAAGTCTCAACCATCTATCCCAAATGCAAACCTTTGCATCAATAAGAAGCACACCTTTTATGAAAATTGATGACAAAGGGGGAGAGATTGTACAAAGATATGAAAGCTTTGGGATAGATTGAGACAAAGAAGTAGAGGTTGTACATGGACATGGACAAAGAGAAAGCAACATTGAAGAAAAGAGATGGATCAAAATTCTTGGACAAGAGAAGCACACAAGTAGGGGAAGCAAGCTCATGAACTTTGATTGGTTGCATTTGATATATGCATAGTCATGTGCTTACTTGCATTGCATAATTTTTTTAAATTTGATATGCATGCTTGTGTAGTGTATGCTAGTTGTAGAATTTGAATGATGATTTGATAACTAGCATGCATAGGATGGTAGCTAGACTTGTATTTTTACACGTGGTACTAGAACTTTGCTTATAATGTTGATCTCATGGGATTTCTAGTATTTTTGTTGTCTAGCTACTCATGGTGCTAAGGATGGTGTTAAAAAGTGCAACTCCGATTGGTATCACACTTTAAAGGTTTATTCTATACACCTTAGTATCATTTGGTAGTAATTACTCTCCCACAATTCCAATCTATGCATATGTGCGAGCTTCAAACTAAACACTCTAGCACATATGTAGGGGGAGCTAATACTACAATTTTAGGTTTGTGGTACTTATCCAAAATCATTTACACATGGTAAAATTGCTTGGGCAAGCAATATGAATCCAAAAGAGCTTAATTTCTATATCTTTGTAGAGTTGTCATCAATTACCAAAAATAGAGAGATTGAAAGGTCATTGTTTGGTTTTGGTAATTAAGTGACAACCCTAGATGGACTAATTATGTTTATATGAGATACACAGGTGATTAGTCCATATATACATGTGTGTGAGCAACATATGCCATAGAGGTGAAAATGGCTCAATGATGTTGCAAAGCTCGCATATGTGATGATGAAGGAGCTCATTGCACATGAGACATGACATTGAGTCATTTGATCAAGGTGGAGAAGATCAAGATATAACTTGGCTCGACGGACCGGTTGCAAGTGTGAAGGACAAGTTGAGTGATGACTTGGTGCCGATGGACCGAGGCAACGGTGAAGAGCAAGTGAAGTCAAGATCGATGAACCAATATGATCACGTGATGATATGAAGTGGATCATATCATTGTTGATCGTGTTGGTGCATATGTTGCATCGATATTGGAGGAGATGGAATGGAATGCGCAAGGCAAAGGTATAACGTAGGGTATTTCTTTTCATCGGTCATAGATGTGTAGAGAAGTTGATGACCGGATTTAGGATAGATGACCGTACTATTAAGAGGAGCAAACTTGTTTGCATATTGGTCATCTAGTGCCACTCAAGTGATCTAACTTTGCATCGTTGTTAGGATCGAGTGGCGTGGCAAGTTGAGTGGCTAATCCTTTGAAAAATGATTGTGAAAATGCTAACACACATACACATGATGGTGTACACTTAGTGGTGTTGACACATTTGCAAATGAGAAATAAGTTGGAGTTGAAACGGATCAACTCGGCGAAGAAACGGAGGTGAAAATGGTCAATAGAGGTAACCGGACGCAGGCCTCGGGAGGACTCTCGCGTCCGCCAATTTTAGCCGCAGATCTGTTTGGCCGGCCGAGGCGTGAGTTGACTGACCGGACTCTGGTCCATGTGGTGACCAGACTCGACGACGGTGCATCCGGTCGAGGCTGACGAAAACTGACGTAAGCGGCTGTGCGAGCAAGACATGGACCTGACGCTAGGCGCGTCCGGTCGCTCCTGATCGGACGCATCCGGTCATCATTTTGCCGCTCGGGGAACTCTTTGGAAAAGCCCGCACTCAGGCGGTGGCGCGTCCGGTCACATGCGAACGGACGCGTCCGATCATGTTTTGGAGGCTCTGGGAGCTCTCTGTTGTTGACCGAACATTGAGGTGTGGTGAGTCCGATCAAGCTAAGCAGCGTGCCCGATTGGTGGATGAAGGCGCGCACGCGCGAGGTAGCCGTTGGCGACAACAGCTATTTTCAAACGACTGGTGTCATGTGGAGGCAGTACAGCGAACGGACGCAGGGACCGACGTGTCCGGTCGATCGGACCTGCGCGTCCGATCGTTCCAAAATCTGCCCAATGAAGGGGTAACGACTATTTTAGCCCGTAGGGCTATAAATAGAAGCGTTGGTCGGCCTTTGGTCCAAAGCCGAGTAGAGCTAAGCACCCTCACGCCTGTGTGGCTTGTGTAGAAGTGCTTGGATACCCTCTAACTCACTTGTGCTTGCAAGAGTGCGAATCGATTGCAAGTGAGTGTGATTCTAGGGCGTTGCATTGTGAGATTGCATCGAGTGCCACTAGGTGTTCGAGTTGTAAGCTGGTGGTGCTTGTTACTCTTGGAGGTTGTCACCTCCTAGACGGCTTGGTAGTGGTCTCCGTTGAAGCACGCAAAAAAAATTGTGCGGTGCTCCGGAGAAGTGATTGTGAGGGGGATTGTGCTCACCCCGTGGGAGCCGCGAAGAGCAACTCTAGTAGAGCGATACGCGAAGGGCGACAAGTGGTCCGACCGGGTCAAGTGCTAGAGCTTGTGGTAAGCACCTCACGTGGGAGAGTGTGACTTGCGGGTCACCACTAGCAAGAGGACCGACGACAATCTTGGAGCTTGTCTCAACGGAGACTAGCGTGTTGGCAAGCACGTGAACCTCGGGATAAAAATCATCGTGTCATCCTTATATTTCCGTTGGTTTGTATCCTCCTTACACAAGCTTGTAATTACTTTAATATACATTATGCTTGTGTAGTTGCTCTTGTAATTAGTTAGCTTGTGTAGCTCACTAGTTACCTTCTTGTTTGTGTAGCATAGAAGTAGCTTCCTTGTGTGGATAATTTGGTTTGTGTAACCTTGTTAGTCACATTGCTTAGTTTGTGTAGCTAAGTATTTGCGCTCTCTAATTTGACATTGGTTGCCTTGTTATTGAACATTGTTAGTAAGCTTAGGAGCTTTGTGCTTTTGCTTACTAGAATTGTGTACGAGCTCATTGGTGTGCAAAATACTAGTGTCATAGGTTTGTGTGACCTTGGTTCTAGAATTGGATAGGTGAGCTCTAACTAGCTTGGCACCTTAGTTGCTTAATTAGGATCTTTGCAAGGTGCTAGAGAACATGGATAGAGGGGTGTAGTCTTGGCTAGACCGATAGTTTTAATTTCGTACTTGTTTCGGTTAGTCGACGCGATTAAGTTTTAGAAAAGAACTATTCATCCTCCTCTGGTCCGCCATCTCAACCCTACAGTCATGTAGAAAGTAGCTAGGTATGATCATGCACATAACCACTCAAGTTTAAGTTGTCTATTAGACTGAATTTAGGTGCCTATTTCTATTCTTAATAAAAACCCTCTAGTTCATCTTAGATTGGATCTGGCTTAGTCAAGTCAATTATTAGGATTAGGGACTAGGGAGCTAGATTCATGCATCAAACGGGAGTCGAGGGACTCAGATCGGTCAGTTTCAAAGGTGAGGGACGACGAAGTTGAGCTTCTGATGCAAGTTGGAAGGCTAACTACTCTGCCAAAAGGTGATGATGCACAGTTCAACGTGTCTGTTCTAGTGATATGATTGATCCATCACAAAAGTCATCACCTCTTTAATATCAGCGGGGCCAATCTGTCACAGATTTTTATACTCGCCTCTTTCAAAAGTTTTAAAATTAAAGGGCAGCCTAACTTTAAACAACTTTTTGGGCACGCATAGAACGGGTTAATATATTGTTTTGAGGTGTTCCCCAAAATAAATATTTCGTTTTGAGGTTTGACAGACAAACACAATTATTTATTTAATAATAAAGTATAAAATATACTTTTATACACTTTTTTTTCTCGATCATGCAAAAAAATTTACGTATCTTTATATTAAGAATTAAAAAAAAAAAGTTTGACACGTCGCTAAGACGTCCTAGCTATCAAAAGAGTCGTTATATATATGGACACTCGGACCTACCAATGTACTGTACTTTCAGATATTTAGAGAGTAGTGTTTAAGACGCTAGGAGACTCGACATCACTTATCTGGTGAGGATAAGGGAAACGGATGGTAGGGTGGTAGCTGCCAAGACACTGTTTCTCCTGTGAGAGAGAGAAAGAGATGAGGAGGCGTGGTTACAGCAGAGGTGTGCTGGTGTGGCTGGTGCTTGTGTGCTCATGCATTCGTGAAGCACCTCGGTTTCAGGCTCAGCAAACACCAAGAACTCATCCAGTCGAAGGTTCGAAAAACTACCTCCTTTGCTACGGTTTCAAGGCTCAGAGAATCGGGGGGTTAGCTTTAGCTTGCACGTTATAACGCGGGCCGGATTACGCGCGCGTGTGCAGTGGCGGCGCTGAACACGATCCTGGGGAGGTGGGGCCAGAAGGCGAGGCGGTCGCCAGCGTGGAACATCAGCGGCGAGCCCTGCAGCGGCGCCGCTGTCGACAGCAGCACCGAGATCGACGGCAACTACTACTTCAACCCGGGGATCAAGTGCGACTGCTCTTTCAACAGCAACACCATCTGCCACATCACCAAGCTGTACGTTTGCCCGATCTTGTCTTGTTTTAGATGATGCACAATAGGTGCTCGGCGCCGGGACCAAGAGGCCATGTCGTCACGAAAATGGTTTACAAAGGCTTAAGTTCTACAGTGCCTATTTCTACTGATACAATACGTCTGACTTCTTGTTTATTTTGTGTAGGAGGGTATACGCATTGAACGTTGTTGGCCAGATACCTTCAGAACTGCAGAACCTCACCTACCTGTCTTACTTGTATGTTGTCTAACTGCTATCTTCTGTCTTGGTGGTGAACAACTGCTAAACTGTATAATGATTTTGCAGCAAACGTAAGTGGAAACCCATGTTCTTTACTGTTAATGCGCTAGACATTTCTTGCTGTCATTTCAGGAACCTGGATCAAAATTACTTGAGCGGTCCCATTCCATCATTCATTGGGCAATTTTCTGCAATGCAACACTTGTAAGAGTTATACTTCACATTATACTTTTATGTGATCTCCATCAGTTAGTGCTTTTTCTGAACAATCTTTCATTTTTTAATACAAAAAATTAAAGGAGCCTGGGATTCAATCCACTCTCTGGACCGCTTCCAAAGGAACTTGGGAATCTCACGAATCTCAACTTGCTGTAAGAGAACTCTTCTTGCATAGCTACTCAACTTTCAAATATAGGTTAATGATAGCCTGAAGGAATATAATAATATGGGACAAACTGTACGCATAATTTCTCAACAAGAAAGTAACTTATATATATTAAAAGCATCAGTGTAGTTTCCTATTTCAAATGGTGCTTCGTATGTTCAAGTGGGATCCAAATGGAGAATATTGTGGATCAGAAGACTCATCGGGGAAACTGTGCCCCTTTACCTGCCAGTAGCATGACATGCAAATAAATTTCTCACTCCTGAAATATTTTCTTTTGTTTCAGAGGCATTAGTTTGGACAATTTTAGTGGTGGACTTCCTGAAGAATTAGGCAACCTGTCCAACCTTGAGCAACTGTAAGAAGCCTCCTTTCTAGTTGCCAAACACTACATCTAGAATAAAAGAGCTAAAGTTTGAAGCTGGCAAAATCTCCGTTGTTGAACATGATAATTGCAGCAATGTTTCCCTGACAGGTACACTGATAGTAGTGGGTTTAACGGGCCATTCCCTTCGACATTCTCAAAGCTTAAGAAGCTGAGAATTCTGTATGGTCAATAACAGAGGCACAACTGTTATGTTCATTTTGCTTCCATATGTTCAGTGATAGTATTTTGTTGTGCTTTCAGGCGAGCATCTGATAATGATTTCACAGGGAAAATACCTGATTATTTTGGGAGTTTGACTAATTTGGAAGATCTGTAAGATTATATTTATTAAATTGTTAATACATTATGTAGATTCTGTCCTATTCAGGAGACAACACTGGAAATTGTCCAGCAGAGCTTTTCTGCATGTCTTCCATTTAAAATAGGATGCATAACCATGCCATTAAACTGATCCGCACAGCATATGGATATATGGAGCTTGCTTTTTCCTATATTAAAATGATGTGGTATGGTATTACTTTCTTTCTGAAATCATGAACTTATAGGGGATTCCAAGGAAATTCTTTGAGGGCCCGATTCCAGCAAGTTTGTCTAATCTAACCAGGTTGACAAACCTGTAAGTATTTCTTACTTTAGAGACAATTCCTGTGATAGTTTAGGTCAAGCTTGTCATGATAACTGATATCCTAAATACAATGGGCAGAATGGTCGGTGATATTGTAAATGGGAGCTCTTCATTGGCCTTTATCAGTAATCTGACATCCTTGAGTACCCTGTGTGTGACACCTTTAACCTTAGACCTTGCAGTTTTATATGTTAACAAAGTGGCAAGTTATTGAGATTTTGAATATCTTTTTTATAGGATATTGAGGAACTGCAAGGTATCTGGTAACCTTGGAACAGTTGATATTTCTAAGCTGACAAATTTAATCTTGCTGTAAGTTTCTCATTATGGGCCATATTACTAATTTAAGATGTTATTGGTTTTCTTTTATGAATTTTAACGTGCAGTGCCTCTAGTAACATTGCTGTTGTACGGCACAGGGACTTGAGTTTTAATAATATCACAGGCCAAGTTCCTCAATCCATCCTTACTCTGGACAAACTTGAATTCCTGTAAGGAATTCTCGTCTAATTATTTGCACTGTACAAACACAACCTAAGCGGATGTTCATGTTGTATCATCATTTACTGTACCTAATTCAGGTTTCTTGGGAATAATAGACTGACAGGAAGCCTGCCAGATGCAAAAAGCGCTTCATTAAAAAATTTGTATGTCAACCAAATGAGTATAGGAGTCTGGCATAAATTATTCGATTAATTCAATAATGTATATTCATTTCATTTGTAGTAACTTTTGACTATTTAATATGCAGAGATTTTTCATACAACCAGCTCACTGGAAACTTTCCTTCTTGGGCTACTCAGAATGATTTGCATCTGTAAGTTATTTTTTCTGAAACTTGTGTTTCCTACCACCTAGGGTTGGATATAATCAGATTTTTGTTTCGAACAAGGAATTTGGTGGCAAACAACTTCGTCCTTGACAGCACCAACAACAGGTAGACATCTACTTACAGTTTTGCAAGGGTTGAATTTTATCAAAAAATTTCTAACAACTTACAATTTCAAATTCATTATCTATGTGCACAGTATTCTACCTCCAGGACTAAACTGCCTCCAGCAAGACACTCCTTGTTTCCTTGGCTCTCCGCAATGTAGTTTTTTTCACTCTCCATCAACCATAGAGGATAACAGGATGTCATGGGTTTTGGTTAAAGGTTATAGTAATTGTGTGGATCTTAAATGCAGATCACTCCTTTGCGGTAGACTGCGGCGGTAATAGGTCTATGACAGGGTCAGATAATACTGTGTACGATGTAGATCATGCAGACCTTGGGGCAGCATCATATTATGTTACCAGTGAAACAAGATGGGGTGTCAGCAATGTTGGAAAATTCAACCAGGCCCCAAACGATAGTAACATAATATATAGCTCGAACCAGAAGTTTCAGAATGCAGCGGATTCAGAACTGTTCCAAACTGCAAGGATGTCAGCATCATCTCTGAGATACTACGGTCTTGGACTTGAGAATGGAAATTACACTGTTGTGCTTCAGTTTGCAGAAACTGGTTATCCAGACACGCAGACTTGGCAAAGCCTCGGAAGGAGAGTCTTTGACATATATGTCCAGGTGCGCATGGTACATATAGTTAATTAATGGAACATTTTATTTTTTTTGTGAAAGGACTAATAACTAATTATTTCCATTTGCAAAGGGTTCTCTGAGAGAAAAGAACTTGATATAAGGAAGACGGCTGGTAGAAAATCTTTTACTGCAGTTAGCAAGAGCTACACGGCAACTGTCTCCAAAAACTTCCTTGAGATCCATCTCTTTTGGGCTGGCAAGGGCACTTGTTGCATTCCTATACAAGGTTACTATGGGCCAATGATCTCAGCATTAAGTGTCACTCCAAGTAAGCACTATCCATCATTAATTTAACATAAATAAGAATTACATCGCATTGGCTTCTCTTAGATAAGCAACCCTGAAACCTTAGCACTTCCAGATTTTACTCCAAGCGTGCGAAATGGTGTACCAGAAAAGAAAAGCAACGCTGGTGCAATTTCTGGAATAGTGATTGGTGTATCAGTTTTAGTATTAGCAGCCTTATTTGGAATATTTATGTTCACAAAAAGGAGAAGAAGGCTGGCACAACAGCAGCAAGGTATCAGATATACCTACTAGCCTGTGCAGTACAAAATTATACATCAAAATTCTATGATGAAATATTTTCTCATGCATGTGCACCCTTCAAAAATTGCAGAACTTTATGACCTGATTAGCGGGTTTGATGTCTTGAGTTTCGCTGAACTCAAGTTAGCTACTGACAATTTCAACCCTCAAAACATTGTTGGAGAAGGCGGATACGGGCCAGTCTATAAGGTTCTTAATTTGACCTTGTGAAACTGTAACTGAGTATTTATCTTATTTGGTAGTGTATCTTAGATGCATCTAACATCGGAACCTCCTGGTGACCATGTTGGTCAATGGTCAAAATATATACATGTAGATTTTACAGTTACTCTGAATTTATTTTGGCAGGGTACGCTAACTGATGGAAGAGTGATAGCTGTTAAGCAACTTTCTAAACCATCTCTTCATGGGAAAAGACAGTTCGTGGCAGAGGTTGCTACAATTTCAGCTGTCCAACACAGGAACCTTGTCAAACTGCATGGGTGCTGCATTGACACTAACACGCATTTGTTGGTTTATGAATACCTTGAAAATGGAAGCCTAGATCGAGCTCTCTTTGGTGAGAACACTTGTGCCTTTATTTTTCTCTCTCTCTTTTCGTCTAAATTTTTTCATCATTTTAATTTCAAGCTCTTATTTCTGCATCCACAGGAGATAGTGGCTTGAAACTAGACTGGTCAACACGCTTTGAGATCATTTTAGGCATTGCAAGGGGCCTAGCTTATCTTCATGAGGAGTCCAACATTCGCATTGTGCACAGGGATATAAAAGCCAGCAATATCCTACTTGACGCCGATCGCACCCCCAAGGTCTCTGACTTTGGACTTGCCAAGCTCTATGAAGAGAACATGTCCCATGTCAACACGACGAAAATTGCCGGCACATTGTAAGAACCTTTCACAATTACTCTTCTTATACATTTATATATGACAGTACCTTCCAACAACCAAGCTAATTTTAACTTGCCTGACCATTTTCTCAAGTGGTTATCTAGCTCCTGAGTATGCCATGAGAGGCCATCTGACTGAAAAGGCCGACGTTTTCGCATTTGGGGTGGTCGCCCTGGAGGCTGTCTCTGGTCGGCCGAACACTGACAACTCCCTCGAGGAAAGCAAAATATATCTTTTGGAGTGGGTAATAATAAGCTATTCTACAGTCTTTTCATCCAGCAGCAGCAGAATTCATCGTCAATCCATTCTTGTCCAGGAGCTTCTGCTTACTGAAGCATGCTGTGCTTCTGTTCATTTACAGGCCTGGAGCTTGTATGAAGGGAAGCAACCACTAGGAATCGTGGACCCGAGACTCAATGAATTCAACCCCGAGGAGGCTTTGAGAGTCATCCGTGTCGCGCTCCTGTGCACGCAGGGCTCACCGCACCAGCGACCGCCGATGTCAAGGGTCGTGGCAATGCTTACTGGAAAAACCAAGGTGGCCGACGAGGTGGCAAAGCCAAGCTACGTTACTGACTGGCAGTTCAGGGGTGGGAACAGTAGCTACACCACGAGCAGCTACTGGGGGTCTACTTCCACCCCTGAGCTGAACAGGCAGAGAGATCTCGACCCGTTGACCCAGTCACCCACGATCACCGGAGCAAGTCACGAACTCGAGGGAAGGTGAAGTGAAAACAAAGATGATCTCTGCTAAAAGTGATCGGTTTGGAGTAGTGAATGTTTCGGACGCTATTTGTAATTTACGTACTCCCTCAGTTTCGAATTACGGACGCGACTTATAATTTGGAACGGTGAAAGAAAATGTTAATGTTATGCGGGCCGTCGCAGCAAACATGTCGCTCTGAATTTCGTCAGGTCGGAAAAGTATGGCGTCTTGTGTGTGTGTGTGTGTATATATATATATCCAATAAATGTATGTACATGTTGTAAAGAAAATGTCCCTATTTTGGGTTGTCATCTTGGTAATTAATGATTACACATAGTCAATGTGACTAATTTGCTACGTGTACGAGGTTATGTTTGGTTAGAAATGATAATGCAAACGTGAAACAGTATGATATCAGAAGGAATTATTATAGAATAATCAATTCCCTATTTTTTATTTAAGAATGGTGGCGGACCCAGCCAGAAAATATAGTTGAGGCGGAGATAGAAGACAAACTAAACAATAATAAAATAAAATGTCACAACCGTGTGCCATATTTATATCGGAATCATGTAATGAGAGTAATAGCAAAGTACTCATTCTAAAAAAAACATAGCAAAGCACACCCTTCATTTCAAATTGCAAGTCATTCTCACTTCTCTAGATACATAGATTTTGCTACATAACTAAATATATACGCCATGTTCGTTTCGTTGAAAATTTGACTTATACTGATTTGTTGTGAGAGGAAAACAATATTTATTCGCTGAAAAGTACTGCTGAAGTAGTTATATAATGTTTATAAATCTAGAAAAGCCAAAATTTGAAATGGAGGGAATGCTTAATTAGCATAGATGAAGATGGAGCTCGCATAAAGAAGAGTAAGGCCCCTTTAGAATAAAGGATTTTTTTTCTTATTTCTTGTTTTTCATGCGAAAGTGAATTAATTACGTGAAATTTTTACACTATTCCTATAAAAATTCTATGTTATAAAGGTGCCATAAAAATTATTTGTGCCACCAAAACTCAAAATACATTAATTTATAAATAAAAAAGGCCAATCTGACCAATTAGAAAAACAGAAGAGATAGTGACTAAACAATAAGCAAACAAATGCATCTAGTAAAAAATAGAGTATTGTCTTCTTTCCGAGAGGGATACTACGACCTCGGGCAATGGCCGACGCTACAGCTCCATCCCTGGCCACCGGCGTCAGCACCTGCTCCAATCCCTGCCGCCACTTTTTTTTTTTGGAAAACAATCCCTGCCGCCACTTGCTCTTCGGGTTTGGCTGTTTGGATTTGGGTTGCAGATACTAACTGGCGGTGGGGCATAAAGTTGGCAACGAGCAGAAAATACCCGCAAACCCGTGGATATGAAACCCGATGGGCACGGCTATGGGTCTAAGGCTCCGTTCGCGTGCCCTTAAACCCGACTTGATCCGTTTCTTTTTTTATCCGGAACAGTGTTTCTCTCTCACAAATTCCTCCAGCATTCCTCCAAACCATCCAAATTCTTCCAAGCGAACATGCCCTAAGTATGTGCCCGCAAGCACGGGCGTGGGCATGACCCTAAACCCAACGGATATTTGCTCACGGGCGTGAAAAAATGATATCCGCACCCGCAAACTCGCCAGACCCGCTCCAATACCTGACATGTGGCCCCAACTGTTAATGTGTGTAAGACTGTTAATGTTAATGTGTGTAAGACTTATTTATTTGCTTGCTTAGAACTTTATCTAATGGTTTTTCTCTCTTGCCTGATGGTTCTTTAACGTGATGAAAAACTAGAATTGAGAGTTCTATACTTGTATTTATGTGTTGCATGTCTGTTGTATAAATGCTATGCGGGTACACGGGCATGCCCGCGGGCATGCGCTATCCGCGGATAGCAGGCGCGGGCGTGGTTTTCTGCCCGTGGCGGATAGCGGGTGCAGGCGCGGGCGTGGATTTTAGCTCGCGGATATGGATACCTGGACCTCGTATCCACGCGGATTTTACCCGTTACCATCTTTAGTGGGGCAGCACTAGCGCCTGGACGCTCATGGTTGCTCCACCTCGTCCGCCGGGATTCGCGTGTCGTCCACGTTAGCTCTGTTTTTCCGTGCTAGTATCCGAACAGTCCATTTTAGATCCACTGCTCACGTTGCTCGGATGACTTGCTCCTGCCTCTTCAACACCGGCATACGCGTGCCTCTTCTGAGACATCCGTAAGACACTACACCTGCAACATGAAACACTCAATACATTTAAAATAGATGAAACATTTGAGACATAAGCTGGCAATATGTGTGTGAAACATATGCAACATTCAGATAAGCACAATTACCATATGAGAAAACACTTACTGCAACATAACACTGAAACAGTTGAAACATTTAGAACATACGGTTGTAACATGTGTGTAAAAATATATGCAACATGTGTATGAAAAAAACATGCCATGAATTGAATGTGAATATGACTCCAGGAATAATAGAACGAGAACTTTTACTTGACGTTTTATTTCCGGAAAATGTCGTGCACGTGTACGGTGTATGTCATCAGTCCAATTAGGCTGTGTCGGGATCCAGGGGCTAAAGTTTAGTTGTGTCACATCGAACGTTCGGATACTAATTAGGATGACTAAAGATGAGCTAATTGTAAAACTAATTGCACAGGAGTAGACTAATTAATGAGACGAATATATTAAGCATAATTAATTCATAATTAGTAAATGTTTACTGTAACACCATATTATCAAATCATGGACTAATTAGACTTAATAGATATGTTTGTAAATTAGTCTTAATTTGTGTAATTAGTGTTGTAATTAGCTTATATTAATACTTTTAATTGGTATCAAAGATTCCATTAGACTTTTGTCCGAGGGAAACACAACCTTCGTCACACTGCCCCCGGCCCCACCCTAGGCCCTCGCCGCATCGCCGCTTTTTCTCGACGGTTTGACCTCACCCATAGATGTCCAACGGGTCGGCCCGCCCTACACAGTAGAAGAACGGGCTGCTTCAAGACTTAGACGACCCGATGGGTCGGGCCGACAAGGCACGACGTGCCTCATGGTCGCGCATGCCAAGATGGGCTTCGTGCTTCGGGCGACGGCCCAGCACGCACCATTGGCCATTTTTTCGCCAGGCCGGCCGAGAAGCACGCAGCTAATCCAACAGATGTCGGGCCACCCCAAGGCCCACTATACCGACAGAGAGAGAGGGGGACGCCAGGCTGCCGTCGTTGCGAAGGCCGTGGACAACGCGACCTCTCCATCCCCGACCTCTCCGCACCTCGACTTGGCTGGATCTGCGGAGGATGAGCGATGAGGAGGCCAGATCCGCGCAGAGGAGGCATAGGGAGGAGCAGCAGCGCGTGGCGGTAGGAAGGAGGTGGCCACCGCCGTCGATAGTGCTGGGCGGTGAGGAGGCGGTAGCCATCGTCGGCGGCTCGCCGTTTGGGGGCCACGGAGGCGAGTCGGGAGAGTGCGGTGGCCGGCAGAGAGGCGAGTCGTGCGGGAGAGACAGTAGGGCGGGGAGGCGACGTGGCGACCGAGCCGCGACGCCGACTCGCGACCGCGAGCGGTAGGGAGTGCATCGGCAGGTTGGAGTGGAGGTGGGAGGTGGTGGCAGGAGGAGAGGAGCCTATAGCGGCGCACCCCGTCGCGAGTATCAAAGATGAGAGGGAGCGAGCGAGAGCGGGGAGGAGGCGAGGCGAGCGACTGGGCGAGAGAGAGCAGAGTGCAGCGACGGGGGGAGAGGGTAGGCGGTAGGGTTAAGAGAGGAGGGCTGGCCTGCTGGGCTGTTGTTGGGCCTTTGGCTATTTTCCTCACCGAGCCTTTGGCTATTTTACGGGCCAGGCCGTTCCAGCTCACGTGCCTGGGGTAAGGCTCAGGCACGACCTACTCCCTCCCTCGGGCCATGTCAGTCTGAGCCCGCTAGCCATCGGGCCGGTCCGTGCTTCAGCCGGGCAACAAAATAGGCCTCGTGCCGGCTGACGGGCTCGAGCTGCGTGCACATCTTTAACCTGACCTGCCCCTCCCTTCTCTCCTCTCCTCTCCGCCCCCGCTCCTCCGAGTGACCGTACGCCGTAGCCCGACCCAGCCGATCCCCGAAACCCTAGTCGCTCCGCCGATCGCCGGAGGCCCGACCATGGACGGCGGCGCGGCGGAGCTGCGCGAGGCCCACAGCCTGACGGGCCACGGCGACCGCGTGTGGGCGCTCGCCTGGAACCCCGCCCCAGGCCCCGGCTCCGGCCCCGTCCTCGCCTCCTGTAGCGGCGACAAGACCGTCCGGATCTGGAAGCGCGCCCCCGACGGCGCCTGGCAGTGCTCGGTAACTAACGCCACCCTCCCTCCTCTCCCCCCGAAGCCCGGTTCCGTTTGGTTTAGTAGAGGTACGGGTTTGTTTGATGCGTGCCGTAGCTTAATTTCGTCCGTCGGCTTGGTTCGGGCAGGATGTGCTGGAAGACACGCACAACCGCACGGTGAAGTCCTGCGCCTGGTCCCCCAACGGGAAGCTGCTGGCCACCGCGAGCTTCGACGCCACCACGGCGGTGTGGGAGTACAACGGCGGCGACTTTGAGTGCGTCGCCACGCTGGAGTTGAGTTTGCTAAGCTTGACAAGAATCAGGATCGGTGTCGCCACGAGTTGGTTCCCTTGCTGTGGATGGATGTTGACCTCTGTGCTCTGGGCGTGCAGGGGCACGAGAATGAGGTGAAGAGCGTGTCGTGGAGCCCGTCCGGGTCGCTGCTCGCCACGTGCAGCAGGGACAAGACGGTGTGGATATGGGAGGTGCTGCCAGGGAACGAGTTCGAGTGTGCCTCGGTGCTGACGGGCCACACGCAGGACGTCAAGATGGTGCAGTGGCACCCGATCCTCAACATTTTGGTCTCTGTCAGCTATGATAATACCATCAGGGTATGACCGTATCCAACTCTGAACAGATGCATCCATTGTGCAATTGCATTCGCTTATCCGATGTATTGTGTTCGAATTCATCCATGACCAAGTTGTTTTGCTATTTTGGGACGCTATTACTTAGTGGCAGGAAAAAGAAAGGTGGAGCATCGTAATTCTGCTGCTATTAAATTGGTTCATATGGCAGCTTGTATGATGCAGGTCTGGGCTGATGACGGAGACGACGAGTGGCACTGTGTGCAGACATTAACTGAAGCCAATAACTGGTAAAGTGCTCTTTGATCTATTGCCTTTCTTCTTGCCTTGTTTATTACATCATGAATCACATCCAAACTACTATGTTCCAGGTTCTCTGGTTCTTTTATCTATGATATGAAAAGATATGATGCATGGATTTAGTCCCATTTTATTTCTTATGCAGTGCATTGTTGTTGATTCTATGATTTAGACTAAAACTGTTGCCTCACGAAAGTATGAAAATCACCTTCATGATTTTGGTCAGTCCTGCATTTTTGAATCAGTGTCTCCACCAGTTATGTCACCTGTCCCCTCCCCTGGTTCTCACTTTGCTGAGTCATCATCATGGATTCCATGTGAAGCATATGAGATTAACAGTTTGTTTGTGTGATTTTGCAGTTAACTTAGGATTGTTTTCCATATGGTTCCTTATTGAGATCAATTTTGTGCCACCCTTACTAAATATTAAATAGACAAGGATTACATAATTTTATGATTCTATTCATTGTTCATGACAGTTGGGTACTGAATTGATGTTCTCTGACTTATAACAGAACACAAAATTTCCATTCTAGTTTCAGTGTTTTACCACATGTATTATTGCGTTGTTTGATAGGTCACGTTTTTCTTAATTCCAGTGGTCATTCATCAACAGTATGGGCATTATCCTTTAACTTTAAAGGTGATAGGATGGTCACATGCAGGTTTGTTTGACTCCTCTTTCATTAATGTTTCTCTTTTGCTGGGTTTTTACCCTAGAGTAGTTACTAATGTCATACATCTGTTATTCAGTGATGATCAAACGATAAAGATATGGGACACCAGCGCTGATTTGTCTCAACCAAAAACTGGCGAAGGTCATGAATCTTGGTAATGTAAGACATAATCTGCTGCTGATCTCTCTCTCTTGCTGCAGCAGAGTTGGCATTTGGTCGATCGGGTTGTCCGATCTCTCTTCATCAGTGATGTATGGCAATATGCCACCTCTAGTACATTAGTTGGTAGCTATTACATCAACCATGTCTTGGTAGTGGATCTGATCTAACCTTTGTACCGCTAGTACTAGGAGTAGTTGGTGTACCCTAGGAGTAGGAGTTGGTGTACTCACCAACAACTATGTACCGGTAGAGGTACTAGCACTTGTATATATATCACACCTAAGGCAATGCAAAAGAGTAGTTCGGTTTGCCACATCCGAAGCGGGGCTTTACGCCAAATACCGGGCTTCAGCCGTGTGTGTGTGTTCTCAATATCTTCTTCTACCTCTAGCTATAGTGAGTGATTGTGCTGGTAAGCTTACTGCTTACCTGTGCAGGGTAGCCGAGGGACCAACAAGTGGTATCCGAGCCGTACAAGCGCCGTCGTCGGACTAACCGCTGGCGATGACGAACGGTTGAGAGATGGGCGACGGTGTGGCTGCCCAGCCACAACAGAAGGTCGTCGTGCGCACGGTGCGGGAGGTCAGCGGCACCAGTTGGCCGACGCTGACTCGCACCAACTATGGCAAGTGGGTGGTGACCATGAAGGTCAAGCTCAGAGCTCGACGGCTCTGGAATGCCATTGACAAGGGCACCGACAACGAAGAAGACATGTCAGCGTTGGAGGCTATCCTCGCTGCTGTGCCAGCGGAGTACAGAGAGCCGTTGGGGGCGAAGAACTCTGCTAAGGAGACGTGGGAGGCCATTGCAGCGATGCGCGTCGGCTCTGACCTCACAAAGATGGCGACAGCAATTTCTTGAAGCGAGAGTCGCCAACTTCAAGTTCAAGGATGGTGAGTCGGTGGAGGACTTCTCCTCCGCTGCGATCGCTCATCGCCAAAGGCGAGGAGCCACGGCGTCACCATCGACGAAGAAGAAGAGGCGGTCTCCAAGTACCTTCACTCCGTGCCGGTGAAGTACATCCAGATCGTTCTCTCATAGAGACGATATTGGACTTGTCCACCCTCACCATTGAGGATGTGACAGGCCGCCCGCGGGCGGTGGACGAGCGCATGGAGCAGGCTACAGCAACAACGGACAGCGGCAAGTTGTTGCTGACAGAGGAGTGGGCTGCCCGGATGAAGGAGAAGAAGTCCGGGGAAGCCTCCTCTAGCCGCGGTGGCGATGGCAAGCGCCGCGGCAAGGCTTCTTCGAATTTGAAGAAGAAAAAGGTCGACCCCAACGCCTGTCGGCGCTGCGGGAAGACGGGTCATTGGGCAAAGGAGTGCCCAAATCGCAAGCAGGAGAAGAAGGCTGAGGCTCATTTAACGTAGGCTGATGAGGATGATGATGCCACTCTCCTGATGGCGACGTTCTGTGCACTGCACGACGTTGAGGTTAAGGAGAAGGGAGAGGTGATGGCGATGGAAGGGCACGACAAGGCTCTGAAGGTTGTCAACCTCGACGAACCGCGCGTCCAAGTCCACCTCGGACGTGTGGGCGGCAAGCAGGAGCAGAGGTGGTACCTGGACTCCGGCGCCAGCAACCACATGACGGGCTCTAAGGAAGCCTTCTTTGAGCTCGGCGGCAACGTGACTGGTATGGTGAAGTTCGGTGACAGCTCAAGGGTGGCGATCCGAGGCCGCGGCACCATCATCTTTAGGTGCCAGAACGGCGAGCACCGCGTGCTGACAGATGTATATTACATCCCGGTACAAGCATTCAAGCATCATCGACATTGGCCACCGGATGAAGCGCGACAATGAGGTCTTGATCAAGGGCGGTATCCTCGGGATCGTGGACCGGGAGCAAGCAGCGACTTCTTGCCAAGGTGAAGAGGTCCCGAACCGGTTTATGCCGACTTGAAGGTGGAGCAGCCCATCTGCGCTTATCGCACCACAGCACGGAGGAGCCGTGGGCGTGGCATGCTTTCGGTATGGCTATCTCACCGACGCTTTTGGTCGATTGGAGAAGATGGTGGTGGGTCGCCTCATCGAGCACGCAGCGTAGCCGTGTGATTTCGCTACCGGTTGGGAAGCAAAGAAGGCTCCCATTCCGAAGACCGCTGGCATCTGCGTCTGGCGAGAGGCCCTCGAGTGGGTCCATGGTGACCTCTGCGGGCCGATCACACCGGCGACGCACGGCGGGCACAAGTACTTCATCTTGCCGGTGGATGATCGCAGGTTGGTTCATGTGGTCGCGACTTTCGACCAAAGAAGACCGATCTGTGAGCGGTCAAGAAGTTCAAGCCACGCGAGCGGAGGCGGAGAGAGCGGCAAGAAGTCGCGTCTTTGTGGATCGATCGCGGTGGCGAATTCACTTCGGTCGAGTTCGGCTGCGTCTTCGCGCGGATCGGGTGTGGTGCGACACCACACCGCGCCGTACTCGCCACAGCAGAATGGCGTGGTGGAGCGGCGGAACCAGACGGTGGTCGGCATGGCTCGATCCATGATGAAGGCCAAAAGCATGCCGGTAAAGTTCTGGGGAGAGACGGTGACCACGGTGATGTTCATCCTCAATCTGCGCGCCCACCAAGGCCCTCGAAGGGCAAGACGCTGTTCGAGGCTTGGTATGGACGCAAGCCGAATGTGTCTTTCCTCAGGACATTTGGCTGCGTCGGCCATGTGAAGAACACCAAGCCTCACCTCGGCAAGCTGGAAGACAGGAGCACGCTGATGGTGCTCCTAGGCTACGAGGATAGCACCAAGGCGTATCGGCTCTATGATCCCAAGAGTGGCAAGGTGGTGATCTCTAGGGATGTGGTGTTCGATGAGATGGCGATGCAGGACTAGGAGGTCCGGCACGGGGAAGCTGGCGACTTGAGCGGCACCTTCGTCGTCGAACACTTAGTCATCCACGGTGGTGGAGAGACGCTGAGAAAGAGTGCCGACCACCCGTGAGTGGTGCCAAGCGGTCCAAAGACAAGAACGCCGACCACTCTGAGAGGGGTGCCGAAACGCACTTCAAAGAAGAAGCTTGAAGCGCTCGGCAGCAGAGCCGACCACTCCGAGTGGTGGTCTTGGCGCTCCGGATTGGATCCGACCACTTGGCGGTGATGGTGCCGAAAGCGGTCCAGCGGTGATCCGACGACTCGGCGAGGGTGTGCGAAGCGGTTCAACATGATGCCGACCACTCCGGCGAAACGAAGTCCATGGACCACCGATCGAGTTCACCTCTCCACCCATTGACATCGACGCAATACGTGGGCGCTTTCCACGGCGGCGAGGAGGTCCGGTTGAGCGGATGGACAACATCGTCGGCGAAGGGGAGTTCTTTGGGTTGGCGGTCGTTTTCTCGACGACCCGTAGCTGCTCCTTGTTAGTGCGGAGGAGCCACCGACGCGTTCTGCGATGGTATTTAACGCGACGACAATTGGCGTCGAGCGATGTTGGAAGAGATGAAGGCCATCGAGGACAATGGGACATGGGGCTGGTGGATCCACCGGTGAAATTGCAGCCGATCGAGGTTGAAGTGGGTCTACAAGGTGAAAGCAGGACGACGCGGCGCGCCATTGTCAAGTACAAGGCTCGGCTGCGTCGCTCGCGGCTTCCGTGCGGCGTGAGGGCATCGACTTCGAGGAAGTCTTTGCTCGTGGCGCTTGAATGGAGTCCGTTAAACTTCTTTGTTGGCCATGGCGCAGCAAAGGATTGGCGCGTCCACCACCTCAACGTCAAGTCTGCGTTTCTCAGCGGCGAGCTCGCGAGAGACGGTCTTCGCTGAAGCAAGCTCAAGACCCGCCGTCAAGGGCGCTGAGCACAAGGTGCTCAAGCTACGCAAGGCGCTCTACAGGCTGCGGCAGGCCCCTCGGGCGTGGAACGCCAAGCTCGACGCCACCTTGACCGAGCTTGGGTTCACTCGCTTGTGCCACAGAGCACGCGCTGTACACGCGGCGACGGAGGAAGGAGCTCGTTGTCGGTGTGTATGTGGACGACTTGATCGTCACTGGAGCGCGGGCAGAGGACATCGACGACTTCAAGCGCGAGATGGCTGCTCGTTTTAAAATGAGCGATCTCGGCGCGCTCTCCTACTACCTCGGCATTGAGGTGAGGCAGGGGAAGGAGCACATCTCCCTGGGCCAGCGCATCTATGCGGAGAATCTGCTGGAGCGCAGTGGCATGGCGGAGTGCAAGCCGTGCCCAACTCCAATGGAGGAGTGGCTGAAGCTGTCCAAGCACAGCATGGCGGCGAAGGTGGACGCGGCGCGCTACCGGAGCATCGTCGGCAGGCTGCGCTACCTCATGCATACTCGGTCGGACATCACGTTCGCGGTCGGGTATGTCGATTAAACTCATGGAGGACCATGCGCGAGGATCAATGGGCGGCGGTGAAGAGGCTCTTGCATTACGTCAAGGGGCGCCGATCAGCGATCATCTTCCCCAAGAGTGATGGCAAGGATGATGGGTGCGGCTCACGGTCTTCAATGGGGCACCCCAATGCAAAGGAAGGTGAGCCGGAGCTCATCTTTTTCAGGCCAGCAGAACATGGC